GGATCACCTGAGGTCAGGAGTTCGAGACCAGCCTGGCCAAGATGGTGACACCCAGACTCTAGTAAAAATACAAAAATTAGCCGGGCGTGATGGCAGGTGCCTGTAGTCCCAGCTACCTGGGAGGCTGAGGCGGGAGAATCGCTTGAACCCGGGAGGTAGAGATTGCGGTGAGCCGAGATCGCACCACTGCCCTCCAGCCTGGGTGACAGGCGAAATTCTGTCTCAGGAAAAAATAAGAAAAAATTCATATTGTGTATATTGTTTTCTAAACTTTTTTTTTTTAGACGGAGTCTCGCTGTGTCTCCCAGGCTGGAGTGCAGTGGTGCGATCTCAGGTCGCCGCAACCTCCGCCTCCCGGGTTCAAGCGATTCTCCTGCCTCAGCCTCCCGCGTAGCTGGGGTGACAGGTGCCACCACCACGTCCCTCTGATTGTAATTCTTCCTAGACACGAGGTTTCTCCATGTGGCCCCGGCTGGGTTCGGACTCCTGAGCTCAGGGGATCCCCCCACGTCGGCTTCCCAAGGCGCTGGGGGTCCAGGCGTGCACACGGCTCTTCGTCTACACACATCCCTGGATTTTCTACCCACGGGGATACAAATAGACGCCCGCGGTGTGGGGACCTGGCTCCGCACCTGCACCTGCGTGTTTCCTGCACGGGCCCCAGAACCCTGGGACGGGATCCCTGTGGAGTGACGAAGTCAGTGGCCCCTCGCTGAGGCTGGGGGATGGGAGGGGGCGGCATCCAGGCTGGGCCCCGAGGCCTGGCTCCCTGTGTCCCCCTCACCGTGTCCCTGAGGTCCCACAGGCTGGTGACAGGTGGCTGAAGGCCACATTCTAGTCAGGGCGCCGGCCCCACGTGTGACCCCGGTTCCTCCCCTCTGTCCCCTCCCCACCCCCAGTCTGTGTCCCCTATTTCCCCCACCGTCTCCCCATACCTACCACCCCTCCCCTCCTCTCTCCCCATCCCCCTCTTCTCTCCCCACCCCAGTCCTCCTCTCTTCCCCCACCATCCCCCCATACCCGCCTCCCCTCCTCTCTCCCCGCCCCTCCCCTCCTCTCTCCACGCCCCGTCTCTCCCTTGAGTCCTTGGGTGGTGGTCCTGGCCACACTCCTACCTGACTGGCCCCATCCTGTCCTTCAGGGCAGGGACAGCCGATGCCCTCCACCTCCCCCATCGCTTTTCTGCCTCTGCCCCCTCCCCACGTAGGCCTGGCGTCCTGTAGGCACCAGCCTCGGGAGTCCGGGGCACCGAAGAGCCCTAAGCATCAGGGTAAGCTGTGGTCTTAAGAAGTCAGTGTGTCTCACAGTCCCAAAAGGTTGGGGTACCCCCCAGCCGTCATGTTCAGGGCACCCTACAGTCCCACAGGGTTGGGGTGCCCCATGGCCCTCATGTTCAAGGTACCCTACAGTATTAAAGTTGGGGTACCCCACAGCCATCATGTTCAGGGCACCCCACAGCTTTCTGTTTAGGGTACCCCACGGCCCTAATGTCCAGGGCACCCCACAGTCCTGAAGGGCCAGGGCACCCCTGGATGAGGGGAGGTCAGGAGGGTCAGGGCCCGGGTGGACGTCCGGTCACCCCACCCTGTGAGGCACAGCCTGTGTCCCTGACTCTGACACTGGAGGAGGTGAGCACGGAGCAGGTTTCTGTGGCACGTTTATTTATTTGAGACGGAGTCTCGCTCTGTCCCCCAGCCTGGAGTGCAGTGGTGTGATCTCGGCTCGCCGCAACCTCCGCCTCCCAGTTCAAGCGATTCTCCTGCCTCAGTTTCCCATGTAGCTGGAATTACAAGCGCCTTCCACCACATCTGGCCAATTTTTGTATTTTTAGTACAGACGGGGTTTCATCATGTTGGCCAGGCTGGTCTCGAACTCCTGACCTCAGGGGATCCGCCCGCCTCGACCCCCCAAAGTGCCGGGATGACAGGCGTGAGCCGCCGTGCCCGGCCCCCTGGCACTTCTACAGTCACATGTGGCAGGTGTGTTTGCTCGAGTTCCTGGTCAGCACCCCCGTGTGCACAGGTCGTGTGGTGGCTGCGCTGTGCCTGGCGGCTCCCACCTGTCATCCCAGCCTTTTGGGCGGCCAGCCAGGGTGGCATCACTTAAGCCCAGGACCAGCCTGGGCAGGAGAGGGGGGGCCCAGTTTTCTATTAAAGGTCAGGTGCAGTGGCTCACGCCTGTCATCCCAGCACTTTGGGAGGCCGAGGCGGGTAGATCACGAGGTCAGGAGATGGAGACCAACCTGGCCAACACGGCGAAACCCCGTCTCTACTAAGAAAGAATAGAAAAAATTAGCCGGGCGAGGTGGCAGGTGCCTGTAGTCCCAGCTACTCGGGAGGCTGAGGCAGGAGAATGGCGTGAACCCGGGAGGCGGAGCTTGCAGGGAGCCGAGATCGCACCACTGCCCTCCAGCCTGGGCCACACAGCGAGACTCCGTCTTAAAACACAGAAAACAGGTGCAGCGTGGAGCCTGCCCTTGTGGAATCGCTGTGGCCAGGCGGCCGCCCCTCTAAGCCCCGCTTCCTGCCCTTGGTCCCTGAGTGTCCTGCGGGGTTTGTGTGAGTCCCTGGGGGCCGAGGCCCTGGCGGGGAGGACGGGGGCGTCTGTGTCTCCCCCATGGTCGCACCTGTGAGCTGCCGGCCGTAGGTACCGCTCAGGCACGCCTTGGTTACGGGGCAGGGGTCTGTGTGCTGGGGGTTGAGGGACCCGGCCCGGGAGGCCTGTGGGGGGAGGTCTGGGGGGGGCTTGTCCGAGCGGGACCTGCTGTCCCTGCACCTCTGGGGTCTCCCTTCCCGCCGGGGCCTCACCCCCTCCTCTGGCTGCTCCCTGAGGTCCGGCCGGGCCGCGCTGGGGAAACGGGGCGGCTGTGTCCCCGCAGAGGGGCTGTTCTCTGGGGCACGGGTGGGCAGGACCCCTCGTGGCGGCGGCCCGGGCTGCTGTGGGACCCGATACCGGGGTGGAGAGAGCTATGCCCCGTGAGGACACGGCCTGGGGCCGGGGTGCGGTCGGGTGCTGTCCCCGGAGACCAGAACGGCGGCTGCCCAGGCTCCGGGTGGCGTGTGTGGTGCGGCGGCCAAGCCTGGGGGAGCTGTGGCTTCTACAGAGGGTCCCGGGGTCGGCCCGCGGGTCACGGGGAACTTGGTTCGAGGCCCCCGCGGGAGCCACGCAGCAGCGTCTGCCGGGTGAGGGGCCTCGTCTGCGGCTTCGGGCTGGGCAGGGCCGTCTGTGCCACGCGGGGTCTGGGCCGGCCCCGGAGCTGCGTCCCCGTCACCCACAGACGGGGCCCCTGTGCCACGTGGGGTCTGACCCCTTGGCCTGGGCGGGGCGGCTCCTGGGCACGTGCTGGGGACGACCTCCGGCCTCTGCTCCTTCCCGGGCTCTGAGAGTCCCGAGGGCCTCCCTGCTCCCCCCGGGGCCGTGTCTCCTCCGGGAACTGCTGGGCACGGCTGGGTCCGGCTCCGTCCAGTTCCTGCGTCTGATGCCCCCGGTTCTCCCCCAACGCCCCGTCTCCATCTGCCCCATCTCACGGCCGTCCAGGCCCCGTCCCCCGCCCCCCGCCCCAGGCTGGGTCCCCTCGTTCGGGGGAGCCCTGTGTTCCCAGGCCCGTCCCTGCCGCCCCTGGGGACAGCGCTCTGGGGGCCGCTCTGGCGCCAGTGCTGGGAGCCTGGGGTGCCCGTCACCCCCGCTGCACCCGGAGGACGCGCCCGGGGACCTCAGGGCCGTGGCTGGCACCTTTCACGGTCTCCGGGAACCGGGCTGCTGGGTGAACCCGGGGCTGCCCCCGTGGACGCGCTGGGATCTGACACGAAGGGACCCTGCGAGGGAGGGGTGGGGTGCTTGTTTTGTGGGGGCCCCCGGCCCCCCTCACACACGTGGGCTGTCAGGGGAACGGACCCCTAGACCAAGTGGGGGCAGGACTGCTGGGCTCCGGGTCTCCCCACCGCGCCGCCGTCCACGGGGACCCCCCACTTCCCCAGCACAAGCTGAGCGTGCACGGCCGGCCCTGGCGTGGCCCAGGACATCGGGGGCGTGGCCGGGGGAGGAGGGGGCACTTGGGGGATGCGGCGAGTACGGGGGTGTCGGAGGCTGTGCGGGGGCCTCACCAGGGACGGGGGTGGGGGACGCCGTCCTTCCTTTCACGGCCCCCGGGAGCCCTCTGCTGCCTCAGCCTTGAACCCCCAGCTTTGAACCCCCACTGGGGGCCGCCTAGTGTCAGCGTGGGAGGCGGAGGGTTCCGGTCAGAGGTGAACCCCCACTTCGGCCCCCTCAGTCCCATGACCATGGCTGTGGGGGGCCCTGAGGTGGTGGGGGGCGGACTTGCCCACCCAGACGGGCTCCCCCGAGCGCGGGGCAGGGCGGGCCCCCAGGCCGTGGCTCCCGGTGCCATTTCCCTGCGGCGGCCACAGTCGGACCCTCCTGCCCGGCACCGGCCCTGTTGTTGGGGGGCCCTGACCCTTCGCAGACCCAGGTGGGGGTCTGTGCGCAGCTCTCAGGGTGCTCCCGCCCCCCCCAACCCGCCTGTTCCCCGCCGTGTGGCCACGTCCCTGTCCGGGGGGAGCATTTTGTCGTGTGCGAGGAGAGGGGGTCGTCCCGCGGTCACCACCCGTGACCTTCCCTGGCCTGTGGAGGGAGCAGAGCTGGGCCTGGGCTCAACCATCTCGGGGTCCCTGGAGGGCTCGTGGTCCCCCGTGACCACAGGTCTGCGCCCGGCGGGGCCTCCGAACCCCCTCGTTTAGGCCCCGACTCGGCGCCGGCTCCTCCTCTCCCGGGTCGTTGGTGGACCGCGGCCTGGGCCCCGGGCTGGGAGGGAGCGGCCGAGGCTGTGGCCCCCGGGCTGGGGAGGAGGCTCGGGCTGCACCTGCCCGTGGCGTGCCCGCGGCCCCACCCAGCGCTGCCGTGTGTAGATCCGGACTGACGCCCACGCCGTGGCTGAGGCAGCCGAGCCCGCGACTGAAAAATCCTCCCAACGTTCGTTCAAACACACAAGCGCGATCGCCAGAAACGCTCTTGTCCGTTTACACAGAACACGCGGGCTGTGGCGGAGGCTCCTGTCCGGGGCGGTCCACGCGCCCGAATTCACACCACACGCTTCTGTGAATAAATAAAAATTTACCATTCCGTACAAACGCACGCACTTTCCACAAAAGACAAGAGTTTTTACACAAGCCGCGGTGGCCGCGGCACGTGCAGAGGACCCCGTGGTGGGGTCCCCGGCGGCCTCACAGCGGCTCCAGGTCTTCGTCCCCGCACGCGAACTCGTACAGGTCCACGGCGCCCAGGGGCGAGGGCGCCTCGAAGAACGGCCTCTGGGCCAGCGGGGACCGCAGGGCACTCAGCTTCTGCCCCACAGGGCTGAGCTCGGCCTCGAACCTGCAACGAGGGGATGGTGACGGTGGGGCCGGCGGCGCAGAGCCAGGCCCTGGAGACAGCGCGTGGTTTCCGGGACACGCAGGCCGCCCGGGCCCTGCCTCCAGCGAGAGAAAGTCCCCTGAGCCGACCCCGAGCTGCGGCCGCTGAGCCGGCAACAAGCTCCTGGCTGAGAAGACGGCGGCTCCACGAACGCGCCCGGGGAAGTGGCCTGCGGGGCAGGTGGAAACCCGCAGAGCGAGACTGTGTCTAAAATAAAACCAGGCCCCCATGGGGTCACTGGCGAATTCTAGCAGACACTGAGGGAAGGAGTAACAGGTGCTGTATCAAACTCTTCGCGAAACGAAGGGGAGAGCAGACTGCCCCCCATTCCGTGAGCCAGCATTACCCTGATACCCAAACCAGACCGAGACATGCCAAGAAAAGCCGCGGGCCGGGCGCGGAGGCTCAGGCCTGCAATCCCAGCGCTGTGGGGGGCCGAGGCAGGAGGATCCCCCCGAGGTCAGGAGTTTGAGACCAGCCCAGGCAACATAGCAAGACTCTGTTTCTAAAAAAGTAAAAAATTAGCCGGGCGCTGGGGGACACCTCCATAGTAATTAGCCGGGTGTGTGGGGGGGACACCCCCGTAATAATTAGCTGGGCCTGTTGGGGGGACACTCCTGGAGGAGTTAGCTGGGTGCGGGGGTGGGGGCACTCCTGTAGTAATTAGCCGGGCGCTGTAGTCCGAGGTGCTCAGGAGGCCGAGGGTGGAGGATCGCTTGCGCCCAGGAGGCTGCAGTGAGCTGTGATGACACCACTGCCCTCGCCCCGGTGACAGAGCAAGACCCTGTCTCAAAAAAATAATAAAGTACTACAGATAATCTTTGCAAGGAGAATCCAATCCTATATAAGGATAAAATGAGGAAGATCTATGCTGGGAACACAGGGCTGGCTGAAGACGCCCCGGTGTCACTCACCGGACGGACGGACGGACAGACAGAGGAACACGGAGCGAAAGCATCTGAGACACTCAGCCCCGCGTGGGGAAACCTCCGCCCACCAGCAAGAGGCCCGAGCATCCCCCCAGTGAGCGCGCTGACCGCCGGGGGAGGGGAGACGCCCCCAGGACCGGGCACCAGGACCCCACACAAACCCGCACAGCTCAGGCTGGACGTGGTCGGCCCTGACCCCACCCAGCAGCGTCCAGGCCGCGCAGCGGGCAAGAGAAAGCGAGAGACGGACACGCGGGGGTGAAAAGGAAGACGAGACACGGACCCACTGACGGACACGGGGCCGTCCGTGCAGAAAACCGCAGAGAACCTACAGAGCGTTCAGATCTCCTAAGTGTGTGGCGTCAAGTTGCAAAACAGAAGCTCAACCAATGGTATTTCCATCGCCGCCAACGAACCAGCGGAAACGGGAATCTTAACAGTACAGTACCGTTTACACCCCCAAAGTGGGGCGGGGGACAGTGGGCTGGTCACACCCCGTGCCCCACCTCACTGTCCCCGGTGTCCCCGCACTGTCCGCCGCACCCCCGCCCCCCCCCCCCTCCGCCCCCGATCCCCCGCGCCCCCGTTCCCCGCACCCCCCTCACTGTGCCCCGCGCCCCCGCACCCCCCTCACTGTGCCTGCGCCCCCGCGCCCCGTCACTGTCCCCCGCACCCCCTCACTGTCCCCGCGTCCCCCCGCCGCGCGCTCACCCGTCCTCCCAGGGCTCCCCCGCCGTCTCCTCGGCCACCAGGATGTCGTACTCCTCGGCCGCGTACTTCTCCCAGTCCGAGAGCTCGGGGCCGCCGCCGTCACCGTCACCGTCCTGGGGGAAGCGCACACGTCACGCACCCGCCCGGCGCGGCCCCGCCCGCGCGCCCCCCGCACTCACCCTGAGCAGCGCGATCTGCTCCTTCTGCTCGTGGTCCAGGTACTTCTCGATGTTGAAGAAGGTGTCGAAGAACACGCCGGCCAGCTTGCAGCGCTTCAGGTCCTGCAGCGTGATCCTCCCTGCGGGGAGGGGACGTGGCCCACGCGTGAGCGCGGCCTCACCTTCGGGCCGGCTGTGGGCTGCGCGCCTCGGGTCACACGGGCTTAAGGACGCGGCCCGAGGCTCCGGGCTCCCCGGCCACGGGTCTGACGGGACAGGCGGACACGCGCGTGGTTCTGGGCGGGGACTGAGGCATGGAGGCCGCGGTGCGGAGGCGGCTCGGGGCCACCTGTGCCCCCAGGACGCAGGAACTGGGACGTGCTGCAGGCGCCTCTGGATGTGAAATGACAGAGCCCGCAGCTCCCCATGCAGGCCGTGGCCGGAGGGTGTCCCCGGGACACCGAGCACCAGGAGGGCCCCAGTCAGGGCGAGGGACGGCTGCAGGGCGGTGCCCGGGCCTCGGGGCCATTTCCAAAGTGAAAGTCCCAGAGCTGGGGTCCGAGATGCACAAGGAAGCCAAGGAGCGGATACGCTGCCCTGTGCCTTAGCGGCCCTGGGAAAGGACCGCTCCTACTCTGAGTGGGTGACGAGGGCCAGCACCGCAGGTGTCCGGTCTCACGGGGCAAGAACCTCCCACCCAGGACCTCCCGCACCGGGGGACGGGAGGATCTGTGATGGGTGGCAGGGAACACGGTTGAGGGGAGGAGCCAGAGGATGAGGGGAGGAGGCAGAGGGGGTGACGGGAGGAGACAGAGGGAGTGAGAGGAGGAGACAGGGGGGGTGAGAGGAGGAGGCAGAGGGGGGGAGAGGGGAGGAGACAGAGGGGGTGAGAGGGGAGGAGACGGGGCGGGGGAGGAGAGGGACCACCCTGTGTGGCATCAGCACAAACGTGGCCACTGGTCCCTCAGCCGGTGCCGACGTCCCCAGTGAGCCCCAGCCTGGGTTCTCCAGGCCACCGTTGGGGGTGTCCACGTCCCGAGTACGAGGTTCGTGCGCTGTGAGACCGGACACCCGCGGTGCTGGCCCTCGTCACCAACTGAAGAGTAGGAGCGGCCGTTTCCCAGGGTCCCCTCACCCTGGGCTGTCCTCTCACCCACCCGTCCCCTAACCCTGGGCCGTGCCCTCACCCTGGGCCGTGCCCTCCCGGGGTGTCACCTTCGCTCCGCGGCTTGACCAGGTCCAGCATCTGGCAGAGGCAGTCCTGGAAGGGCAGGGCCTCGATGGCCATGCTGTCCAGCCTCCGGCACTGCTCCTCGTAGAAGTACTCGAGCTCGAACATGGACAGGGCGCCGTCCCCGTCCAGGTCCATGCAGCGGAACCAGTACTCGATGCTGCGGCACAGCGAGCTGTCGGCCCCCGCCCCGGACCCTCCCAGCCCGTGCCCTGCAGCCCCCACCGGGCGCGCGCCCATCCACCCGTGGACACACGTCACACAGCGGCTCCCGGTCCTGCTCGGAACAAACCCGCACCGCGGCGGGAACCCACCTGGTCGGCGTTTTCTTGTCCTCCTCAGAGATGAGAAACCAGACGAAGTCGGCGTAGCTGATCTTCCCTTCCTTCTGCACTTTCCTGCCTCTAGACCCCAGGCCAGGATGGAGACACGAAGACGGTGTCAGGGGCAGCTTCCCACGCGTGGAGCCCCTGCCCATGACCGGGGGCGAGAGGGTCCCCGGGCCCAGCCTCCTCCTGCCCCTCCAGGGAGAGCGTGGAGGCCCCGTGGCCAGAGCCTTCCCGAGATCCAGGTGGGGTCAGTGCACCTGCACCACGGCCACGGCCGCCTGGACGCCGGCAACGTCCCCTTCCCGGGGCTCGCTCAGGCCCAGCGCCCGACAAGGACCCCCGACCTGGGGCACGGGCCGCCCCCTTCCTCAGACCTCACATGACAGAGTCTCGTGCCCCCCACTAGGGTTTCGGGTGACAGACACGTGTCCCCTCCCCAGGGCCTGCGGTGACGGCCACTCGCTGTGGGAACTCCATAAGCTCGTGTCAGGCGAGGAGGAGCCGGGTCCTCGCGGGGCCTGAGCCGCACGTACCGCGTGACTGCTCCCGAGAAGATCCTGTCGATCATCTTGCTGGAAATGGCTGGAAAGGAAGGGGGTTGATGGGCAGCGCGCACCGCGCCTTGGCCCCGATGTCACAACCCCCAGAGCCGAGCCGGGACGGGGCAAGGACCGAGATGCCCACAGGCGGCCCCGAGGCCCCGCACAGACCCCTCCCGGGTGCAGCCACCCCTGCCGTTCCAGCGGACCAGGGGAGCACGGAGCTGACCGTGGTTCATTAAAGGGCGGAACGTTCAGGCCTCAAAGGTTCTGCTTCCAGACGCAGAGCGAGGGAGGCCTCAGTGCCATCCCGAAAACAAACACGTTTCAGCCCAAACTCCGCTAACAAAGGGCAACAGCGGAGGCACCGTCACCGCCAGCTCCGGCCCACGAGGTCCCGCAGCCCGAGCGGCCATCCCTGCCGTCTCCCGCGTCCCCGGCACGCACGGGGGCCAAGATGCCCCCACTTCAGGCCGCCCTGCGTGACAAACAGCCCAGCCCGGCCGCACCCGCCATGGCCCGGCCGCACAGGCCATGCTGCCCGGAGACCCAGGGTGGGCACCAGCGGAACAGGGACAGCCGGGGCGGGCCCGGGGCACCCAGGGACAGCGAATGCCTGGTTCGGGGCCGACTCCCCGCGGTGAGGCGCTGCTCGGGCCACACGGGCGGCTGTGCCGAGCTGGGCTCTTCTTGCGGCTACGTACGGGGTCCAGGGCGCAGGTGGCTCCCTGAACCGGGCACAGGACAAACGCAGGGAATGCTACGTCTGCTCAGGGGCGCGTCCCACGCACGCAGGACGGGGGTCTATGGTGGCCACGCGGCCCAGGACCAGCCCTGGGAGACGCGGACGGGCGGAGCCCACATTCCGGGCACCAGGCACGCGAGTCAGCCGCGCGCAACAGATGCCACCGTGACTGGGAAATACTCTTGGTTATACGGTTTTTTTTTGGCGGGGGGGGAGGAAGCAGACTTCAAGGAATCCTTTAGAAAACTGCAGCCCCACAAACCACAGGCAGGTTCTGGTTCCTGGAAGGCTGGACGACTCTTACAGGAGCCGGATGAGGACACCGCTCCGCGGAGGGATCTGACCGACCTCTAAGCCTGCGCTCCACCCAGTCTAGGATTGGATGGAAACTGCTCCCGGCCTTGGGGGCTGGAACCTGGAGCTCCTGAGGGACGCGGCTGGTCTGCACGCCCTTGCTCGGGTGTTAACAATGAAGCCGCGCAGGGCTGCAGGCCCTCGGGCCGGGTGCGGCTGTCTGAGCCTCAGGCCCGCCCGGACCCTGTAAACGGCCGGGGGCTGAGGCCTGGTGCAGAGGCGCACGCGGGGACCCAGACACGGAGCGGGCAGTGGGGAAGAGAGGCAGCTGCAGACCCGGGAGGCCCGGAGAGAAGGGTCTGCTCGGAGTCCCCGCGCCCCGCCCGCCCCTCTGTCCCTGCGCACCGTGGTCATTGTGCCGCGCCAGGTCGTGCGCGTCGATGAGCAGGTCGTGGTCCGTGTCCAGCTCCCAGAACTTGCAGTAGATGACGTAGAAGTGCTCGTAGGAGAAGAATTCGGTCAGCTGGTTGATGTCCGCCTCCTCCTCCAGCAGCGCCACATTCTGCCAAAGGACCCAGGCGGCCTGAGCGCGGGGCCTCTGGGGGGACGCCCTAATCCGGGTGGCTGCGGGCGGGGGCAGGGAAGGCGGGGCGGGGCCGCCCCGAGTGGGGGCAGCTCTGCGGTGGGGGAGCTCCAGCATGGGGGCGGCTCCCTACGCGGGCGTGGGGGTGGGGGCAGCTCTCGGGGAATCAGGGCTCGGCTCCCCCTGGTGTCCAGTAGGGCCCCCCCACTTCGCAGATCAACCATGGACCCCAAACTGCAGGCGGCGGCGCTTACAGGCCTGGGGTGGGCAGGGAGCGTGGGGGAGGTGAGGATGGGGGTGGGAGTGCGGGGGACCGGAAAGGAAAGGGGGGGAAAGGAGGGGGGGAAAGGAGGGGGGAGGAAAGGAAGTGGGAGGAAAGGAGGGGGGAGGAAAGGAGGGGGGAGGAAAGGAGGGGGAGGAAGGGAGGGGAGGGAGGGACGGGAGGACAGGGCAGGGCAGGCGCGCCGCGCACCTGCAGGAAGGAGCTCCTCCGCAGTTCGGCGCAGGTGATCCTGCCGGACCAGGACCGGTTCACGGTGTAGAAGATCCGCTGGATGACCTGCGGGGGCGCCGTCAGTGCGCTGGGTGCGCGGACCCCCCGGAGCCTCGCCCCGCACGGAGACCCGGAGCCGGGGAGAGGGGCGCGGCCTTGGTCTCAGCCGCACCAGGCTCGCCAGGGTCGGACGGGCGGGGGCGGCGGGAAGGGCCCTGTAGGAGGCGCCGCCCCAGGCCGCGGACAGCGGGGAGGGTCTGGCCGGGGACGCCCCGGAGCTACGCGGGCCCAGGACAGGCGGGAAAGGGGCGCGGCCACCCGGAAAACGAGTCTCCCCAACGCCGGGCTCCCGGGCACGGCAGACACGTTCCCAGAAAACAGCTGCCTCCTCCGGAAGCTCAAGACCCGGACCCCGCCTGCCCCGGCCCGCGCTGGAACCGCCCCCGGGGCTCACCCCGGCCCCTCCGCCGGGGACCCACCGTGGTGATGTAGCGCGAGTGGAACTCGGACGCCTCCTTCAGGAACGACAGCCCCGGGTGCGTGTTCACCACGTCCTGCGGGTGGGAAGACATGAGGCGTGCGGTGTGGACGCAGGCCCTCCCGTGAGGGGTGAGGCGTGCGGTGTAGACGCCGGGTGACAGATGAGGCGTGCGGTGTGGACGCTGGCCTTCCCGTGAAGTGTGCGGTGTAGACACCGGCCCTCCAGTGAAGTGTGCGGTGTAGACACCGGCCCTCCCGCGAGGGGTGAGGCGTGCGGTGTGGACGCCGGCCCTGGCCCTCCCGTGGAGTGTGCGGTGTAGACGCCGGCCCTGGCCCTCCCGTGGACTGTGCGGTGTAGACACCGGCCCCCTCGCGAGGAGTGAGGCGTGCAGTGTAGACGCCGGCCCTGGCCCCCCGCGAGGGGTGAGGCGTGCGGTGTGGACGCCGGCTCTCACCTGCAGGAAGGGGACGAAGTCGTCCTGCACCAGGTAGTTGCAGCCAGGGCTCATGAGCAGATGGACGAACTTGGCGGCGTCGTCGTGGCAGTTCTGGAGGATTCTGGAAGGACAGGATGACTGCGCACCACCCTCACAGGCGGGGGGGCGGGGCTTCGACCCCGCAGACGCAGGGTGGAACAACAGAGCAGGCAGCCACGCACGACGGCCAGGCCTGTGCCCACGCGCGGGTTTCTCCTCTCACGGGGGCCGCAGGGGGCACCTGTCCTGACGCCACGGGGACCCGGGGACGCCTCCGCCCTCCCGACACAGCCCCGTGCCCGCCCGGGACTCACTTTCTCCACATGGCGACGAACTTGTGGACGGACACGGAGCCCGTGCGCTCCCCGCCGGCGCCATAGAAGAGCGGTCCCTTCCAGTACAGGGGGCAGCCGCAGGCCTGGGGCACAGAAGGCAGGAGTGGGCGGTCAGCGGGGCCCGGACGCCTGCGCACCTGCTGCGCTCCTGCTGCGCACCTGCTGCGTTCCTGGCGCCTGCCCGCCGCTGCCCGGAGACCCTCTGCGCGGAAAGACGCAGCACACTCAGCCAGGCACGTCCGGGTATCTGCAAACTCAACGTGGCTTTCGCTCCGGCCTTGGAACCGAGTCAGGAGAGCTGAGCCATGGAGTCCGGGCACGCGGTCCCCCGACCAGAGACCACACGCGGGCACTGTAACCAGAGGCGGCTGCGTCCCCAGTGTCTGGAAACCAAGCGGCGCAGACTAAGAACCAGTACGTGCGGGAAGAAATGGCCCCGTCAGCCAGGCAGGTGGTGAGTCCGACAGCGACAGAAACATCTTATGGAACGTGTGGGACAGGCCTGCAGCAGAGCCCATGGCAGGTTCCCAGCCTTCAATACACACGCGAGGAAGGAAAGTTTAACATCAGTCGTCTGCACTTCTGCCTCAAAGTCACACACACACGGCAGAGATGGAAGGAAAAATAGTCAACAGAGAAAATCAAGAAAATCAAAACTTGATGATTTGAAAGATTCTTAACAATTAATTAACCCTGCCGGGCGCGGTGGCTCAGGCCTGTAATCCCAGCAGTTTCAGAGGCCGAGGTGGGCGGATCACGAGGTCAGGAGTTCGAGACCAGCCTGGCCAAACATGGTGAAACCCTGTGTCTACTAAAACTAAAAAATTAGCCGGGCGTGGTGGCAGGTGCCTGTGATCCCAGCTACTCGGGAGGCGGAGGCAGGAGAATCGCTTGAAACTGGGAGGCGGAGGTTGCAGTGAGCCGAGATCACACCACTGCACTCCAGCCTGGGGGAAAAAACAAGACTCTGTCTCCAAAAAAAAAAAAAAAAAAAAAAAAAAAAAAAACAGAGAGAAAACAGATTAGCCACGTCAGCTGTAACTACAGACCCTGCGAGCATCAGAGTCAGTGGATTCTGCAGAATCACTTTATGCCTGTAAGTCAGATGACTGTTGAAACAGACCTCCCTGAAGAACAGTTCAAATCAGAAAATAAACAACTACAGAAAATCTGAAAGGGCTGTTTCTGCAAGAAATTGAATCCATCATTTAAAACTGTCCCACCAAGAAAATTCCAGCCCCCAAAGGCGGCTCCCATGAGTGGACCAAACATTTGAGGAAGGAATCCCACGTGTGTTAACATATTTAAGGAAGGAATCCCACGCGCGTTACCCCGGAGAATAAACACGAGGGGCGTTCCCAGTGTCTGTTCCGAGGCTGGCACAGCCTGCACGCGGTCAAGGACACAGGGAGTCACAGGCCGCTTATCCCTAGAGGCAGAAATCCCAGGCAGGACACACACGAGCAAGTCCAACTCGGCAGTAACTGAAAAACCACAATAATCATCAGCCAGGAAACCAGACACAGGACGGACACTCTGATTGTAATAAAGGGTGCTATGGCCTGACTGCCGGGTCCCGATCTGCGTGTTGAAATCCTCTCCCCTGAGGCGACGGTGTTGGGAGGTGGGGCCTCATGAACGTGATGAGTCTCCTTCTAACGGGCCCCCGAGAGCTCCGTCACCCCTTCCCCCCTGTGTCGATGGACCAGGCAGCAGGTCCTCGCCACTTTCACACCGTAGTCGTGCAGCCTGCAGAGCTGTGAGCAATGAACGTGTACGGCTGGCGAGCTGCCGGGCTGTGCTCTAAGACACGGGGCGTCTATGCAACACCCCCGCTGCTCTCACACAGCGATTACACACGCACGCTTCCTCCCTGCGCCGGAAACAAGAGGACCGTGTCACCGCCGAGCCGCCTGCACGGCCGAGCCAGGGCAGCAGGCAACAGAAAGGCTGGAAGATGCCACGACGGGGAGGAAGAGGCAGAACCGTCTTAATTCACAAGCAACAAACTGTGCACAGAATCCAAACGCTTATACCCAATATGGGAACTAATAAGTATCTTCAGCAAAGCTGCTGGATCCAAGGACGATATGCAAAAATAAATTATTTCAATGTACTGGCCACAAACAACTAGCAAATAAAATCTTCAATAATGCCATCTATCAAGAGCATTTACAAAAAATCAACCTATGAAAAAATGGAACAAAAATCACACACAGGGCCAGGCGCGGTGGCTCGCGCCCATCATCCCAGCACTTGGGGAGGTGGAGGTGGGTGGATCGCCTGAGGTCAGGAGTTCGAGACCAGCCTGGCCAACATGGTGCAACCCCGTCTCTCCTAAAAATACAAAAATGATCTGGGCGTGCTGGTGGGTGCCTGTAATCCCAGCTACTCAGGAGGCTGAGGCAGGAGAATCGCTTGAACGCAGGAGGTGACAGAAAGAGACTCTGTCTAAAATAAAAAAATAAACAAATCACATACAATGTCTACAAAGCAAACTACAGAGCACGGCTGGGTGAAATCAAAGACGACCTAAACGTGGTGAGGTGGACCTCACTGCACTGCTGAGTGTACAGACCACAATTTCCTCCAGACGACTCTGCTGACCCACAGAGTCCACACAATCCCCACCCACGGAGTCCACGCAACCCCCACCCACGGAGTCCACGCAGCCCCCACCCAGAGTCCACGCAGCCCCCACCCACAGAATCCACGCAGCCCCCACCCACAGAGTCCATGCAGCCCCCACCCAGAGTCCACGCAGCCCCCACCCAGAGTCCACGCAGCCCCCACCCACAGAGTCCACGCAGCCCCCACCCAGAGTCCATGCAGCCCCCACCCACAGAGTCCATGCAGCCCCCACCCACATGCACCAAGGGCTTGTTGTTTTGGGGTGTGCAGTATACACTGACAGGCTCACGTGAAAACTTAAAAGGGAACACAGAAGAACTTCCAGGGGACCACGCTGGTGGATGTAAGTCCCACTGCCCCATTTCAACCCTTCCCGTAAAGTCAGGGCCATGAAGTCAGTCTCCCTCAGGCACCAGTGGGCTAAGGGAGCAAGGAAGGAAGTGAGCTGGGGCAGAGCAAACCCACTTCACACACTGAATACCGGGGGATCCCAGCCCAAAGGGTGGAAGGCCAGACAGCGGCCCTCCTGGAAGGAAATGAGAGGCTCTGCCGTGGCCAGGGTTTCTTGAACGGGGCACACGTGTACCCCCTGAAGGAAGAGAGTGGCCAGCTGCCCCCCCGGCCCGGGACTCAGGCTCAGCGCCCGGCACGGTGAACAGAATGACAGGAGCCACTGAGAAGGAGGCCCAAACAGACAGAGCCCCGACGTGCACTGCCCTCCAGAGAGGGGCGCACGACGGCTGGCAAACAAGGGGGAGCGCACCCGGCACTGGCGCTGGCGAGGGCAGGGTTCACGGGGCACGGAGCGGTGGCAACAGGAGCACGACACGCGGCTGAGACAGAAAGGACTGAAGATGCCAGGTCGGGCAAGGCTGCCAGGCAGCCGGGCGTCCGCGTTGCTGGAGGAACCAGGACGCCGCACAGCTGCCGGGAAAGTGGCCCACAGGGTGGCTGAGCATAAGGCCCGAGGCCTGGCCAGGGCATCCGTCCTCCCAGAAGCATGAGGCCCCGAGGCCCGGCCGGGGCATCCGTCCTCCCAGAAGCACACCAGCGGGAAGACGGCCGATGCCCGTGACAGCCACACGGATGTGGACGTCGGCTGCTTGATGCACGGTACCCCCGGGGAGAGGAGCCCGATGCCAGAGCAGGGGCTGGAGGAATAAACTGTGGCAGCGGCGTCCGGACAGGTGCGGGGCGGGAGTGACCACAGGGCGTGTGGGGGAACTTGGAGGGGCTACACGCCACAGCATGGAGCGCAGTGCGGCGACGGGAAAAGATGCTCTCCGGCTGGTGCACCTGTGCATGACGTGAAGGCAGCCGTGTGGAGCCGGAGGGGCAGGCCCTGCAGGACTCACAGGCACGTGCCGGCTCCCGTGACAAGGATCCTGAGGGAGCTCAGCCCTGGCCGCCTGAAGGGTGCCCTGGTGCGGCGGGAGGGAACGAGCTGGGTGCTGGGCACTGGGCCCTTGGGCTGCTGCTGGTCTCACGCTTCTGACCTCATCAGGCCGTTCTGGCTCACGGGCCATGCAGATTTCAGACCCCAAGCGCTCAACACCCAGGAATGTGGGGATGTGTGAGCCTTCACATCTGTGCTCCTCACGGTGTGCAAGACACACCGCAATGACCAGGTGGCACGGACGGAGCATCAGATGTATCCAGTCCTACAGGTTAGCGCCAAGTCTACCCAGTCCTACAGGCTAGAGTCAGATCTACCCAGTCCTACAGGCTCCAGTCAGATCTACCCAGTCCTACACACGCCAGTTGAGCGCAGTGCGGCGACGGGAAAAGATGCTCGGCTGGTGCACCTGTGCATGACGAAGGCAGCCGTGTGAGCCGGGAGGCAGGCCCTGCAGGACTCACAGGCACGCAGACAAGGATCCTGAGGAGCCAGCCCCTGGCCGCCACAGCCCTGGTGCGGCGGGAGGAACGAGCTGGAAGCTGCTGTCTCACGCTCTCTGACCTCAATGTCAGTTTACTCACGGGCCATGCAGATTTCACTCCCAAGCGTCAAACACCTATGGATGTGACACACCAGGCTTCCTCACGGGTAAGACACACCGCAATGACCAGGTGGCACTGACTGAGCATCAGATGGTCCGGGCCCCACAGGTTAGCGCCAAGTCTACCCAGTCCTACAGGCTGGGAGTTTCAGATCTACCCAGTCCTGGCAGGCTCCAGCGCCGTCAGATCTACCCAGTCCTACAGGCTCCAGCTAGATCTACTCCAGTCCCACGTGGCTACAGTCAGGATCTACCCAGTCCTTACAGGTTGGGGCGCGCCAAGTCTACCCAGTCCTATTACAGGCTACAGAGCTAGTCAGATCTGTACCTAGACGGCCCAGTCACCCAGATCTACCCAGTCCTACAGGCTCCAGTCAGATCTACCCAGTCCTACGGGCTACAGTCAGATCTACCCAGTCCTACAGGTTAGCGCCAAGTCTACCCAGTCCTAC